AGGTGATTTCATCAGGTCATCTGGTCTTGAATTTTTTGTAATGACAGCTTTCTAAATTGTTATCTTCCCCTCCTCCCTTTCTTCATTTTGTTGTTTTTTACTTTGAAATTTTGAGACACAGTCTCACTGTAATGGCCTGGGCTGACTTGGAATTCATAGTCCTACTTCAGCCTTCTGAGTGCTGGGAATGCAAGCAGGCATCATTATGCCTGGCTAGTCAGTCCCAACTTGATTGAATTCCAGATTCATTTGACTATTTTGCCATGTTGTTTTATACGTTGTAAGAATTTTAATCTTAAGTGACATAACCCATCCAGCTCCCTGAACCTACCTGATAATCGTTCAAACTGCCCTATCTCAGTAAATGACACTTCTGTCCTTCAGTTACTTGAGCCAAAACCTTAGTGTCTTCATCTCATTACATTCTTGTCCTGTTCAATATAATAAATTTTGTAGGTTTAAATCACACACACACATACACACACACACACACACACACACACACACACACACACACACTTACACTTTAGATCTTTGATTCCACTCTAGTCTCTTCCATAAAATGCTACAGTTACGGTATATTGTTAACATGGAAGCTTGGGAGATATGTTTTTTTTGTTTTTTTGGTTTTTTGGTTTTTTTTTTTTTTTTCAAAACAGGGTTTCTCTGAGCTCTGACTGTCCTAGAACTCTCTCTGTAGAACAGGCTGGCCTCAAACTTAGAGTTCCACCTGCCTCTGCCTCCTCAGTGCTAGGATTCAAGGCATGAACAGAGACTTGATATTCTTTTTTTGGTTTTTCAAGACAGGGTATCTCTGTGGCTTTGGAGTCTGCCCTGGAACTAGCTCTTGTAGACCAGGCTGGTCTCGAACTCACAGAGATCCGCCTGCCTCTGCCTCCCGAGTGCTGGGATTAAAGGCGTGCGCCACCAATGCCCATCTGAGACTTGATATTCTTAAGAAAGTCACTTGATCTCAGTTCCTGTCTCTAAGATGAAATAATTTAAAGTAAATGACTTTTATTCTTTCTAGTTACAAAATCCTACAATGTTATTTGTTGAAATTTTTCTGAGGAGCTGGAGAGATGGTTCTGGGGTTAGAAGAATTCTGACTTCTTCCAGGTTCAATTCCCATCACCCATGGTGGCTCACAACCATCTCTTACTCCAGTTCTAAGGGGTCAGACACCCTCTTCTCACTTCCATGGGCAACAGATGTGAAAGTGATGTGCAGACAAACATACAAGCAAAACACCCATACACATAATTTTAACATTTATTTATTATGTATACAACATTCTGCTTCCATGTATATCTGCACACCAGAAGAAGGCACCAGATCTCATAACGGATGGTTGGGAGCCACCATGTGGTTGCTGGGTATTGAATTCCGGACCTCTGGAAGAGCAACCTGCTCTTAACCTCTAAGCCATCTCTCCAGCCCCTAAAATAGTAAATTTTTTAAATTAAAAATATTTTTCATGAAAAAATGAATAGAAACAATTAGAAAGGAAAAATCACACTGACAGCCTTTTCTGAACAACTTCAAAGGACTATCCAAGGAGACAACCAGCTTTGCCCAGGAACTCCAATAAACCATACTTGCAAGGCTATATAGATAAGCTTTGGGGGACTGAGTGCAAAAGCCAGAAGCCTAAGGAGGAAGCAGCAGGGGTACCCAGGAAGTATTTTGTTATGTAGTTGGCACTTTATCAGTTTCTTCCATCTAGAGAAACTAGGGTCGAAATGGCCCATGGAGATGAGAGCAGCTACCAGGGACACCTTATAAAATCACTCCCTTAATCAGTGTGGCTTTTAACAGCCACATAAACGAGTCTCCTTAGCCTCTGGCCCACAAGTTGCTAATGTCATGTTTTGTTTGTTTGTTTGTTTGTTTGTGCTTCATTTTCTTTCCTTTTACATGTCTTTATTGATTTTTATTAAATGTATTGATTCATTAAAACAAAGGCAGGATCTAGAGAAGAGATGCTTTACTGTTTCCCAGCTCTGAATGTGTTAAAGCAATAGACAATTTTTTTAAGTTTATTTTGTTCCTATAGAAAGAAAGCATTCCTTTTTTTGTTTTGTTTTGAGACAGGGCTTCTCTGTGGCTTTGGAGGTTGCTTTTGTTTCTCCTGTTACAAACATGAAAAGTTTGAAGAAACAGGAACATTCTTGCAAGCAGTAGTTGGTCATTTTAGTCTATTTATCTACTTTGTTTATCATAATACATTTCTATGTTGTCCTCAGTCACTGCCATTGCTTTCAAATGTCCACTTTCCAGTTTCTCCAACAGCAACCAGCATAGTATTTAAAGTTCCAAATAGTGTTAAATGCCTGCTCTGGTGGGTAAGTGATATCTACTGTGGGAAAACTCCCACTGTAACCCTTTACTAAGAAAATTCAGTGAGGAAGAGGTTTGGTTCTTTCTTTCAAACCATAATCTAAATTTCTCAAAGATTACATAGTGAGAGGCTGTCTCAACACTCTTCTGTCATAAAAGTACAACCTTGTTTTTTAAAACTATTTTATTTATTACAGCGTGTATGGGTGTGCATGTGCACCCATTCACACTACACCACTTATGTCAGAGGACAGCTTTTAGGGGTAGATCTTTCCTTCTATATAGGTGGGTCCCAGGGATCAAACTCAAGTCCTTTTGGTTTTTCGAGACAGGGTTTCTCTGTGTAGCCTTGGAGCCTATCCTGGCACTTGCTCTGGAGACCAGGCTGGCCTCGAACTCACAGAGATCTGTCTGCCTCTGCCTCCGAGTGCTGGGGTTAAAGGCGTGCGCCACCAGCACCTGGCAAACTCAAGTCTTTAAGCCTGATGGCATATGATTTTCTCCTGAGCTATCTCTCTTGAGGGTGTGGATATTCTTGTATTTGTAGTGCTTAGCAAATAGGTGGTTAATAAGTTTTTCATAGATTGATTTACTACCTCAGTCCCTCAGAAGTCTGCCTTATTTTTTTAAAGTTTGGTTTTCGAGACAGTTTCTCTGTAGCTTTGAAGAAGTCTGTCTTATTAACCTTATTTAAGCCATCTTTTAGGTAGTATATCTTAGAGGCACACTAGTCTACATGAGGCATAGAGCATAGCTATTTGTCTTGTGTTACAGTAAAAGCAAAGCTCATTGGTCAGGTTGAGTATCTCTCACCCAAAATGTATGGGCCAGAATATATTTACATTTCAAATTTTTTGCATATATTTAAGACCAAAGCCCAAACATGAAATTCATTTATATCTCATGATATATATATGACATATCATATATATAATAAATTATAGTTACATAATATGTCAAATAATTTTGACCATGAAGTAATTTGTAGTGTATAGTTTATCACTGGAGACATATCAACATTCCAAATATGGATGAGAATTTTGTATTTCAGATTTTCATATTACTGAATCTCAGCCTGTAATGCTTTACTTTAATATGAACCTTAGACTCTCAAATTGGCTTGAATTCTATTTCCAGACGTTTGGAAAAATGTGCTTACTGCTAATGGGCTTTGGATGATACTGGATTCTAATCCTCTAGGGGCTAGTTTACTATAAGCTTCAGTTTTCATATTTGCATAAATATGTAAGAATAATAAAAATTTCTTCAGGTTGTCATGCTTAAAGGAGATACTAGATCTTAAAACTCTTAGTAGTCCATAGCTGATTATTCATTTTGCAATATTTATCTTGTTAGCATTTTTAATTTTGCCAGTATTATTAAAATCCTTATCTGTACCAAAAATCAGAAAACCACAGAATAAAAAGTAATGTCATCAAAAATTGGGGCAAAGTTTTTTGCACATACAAAATTAAGATAGTTGAGAAGAAATAATGGTTATATATTATAGTGGGAGATTAATAATAAGCAAATAAAATTGTTTAGTAATTGAGGGTGTGATACATGTCATGATAAGGAGGAAAAGTTAGGCATGATAAAGGATAGTATATAGATGGAAAGTTGGTGAAATCACTTGGATAAGGAAGACTGAACACAGCAGATGGTAGGGGAAGAACATTCCAATGTGAGGTCATAGCAGTAATGATAAGACTAACACACTGGAAGTGTCTTAAGTACTTTAATGTATTTGCTTATTTAAGTCTTACTGTAAATGTTAGAAGTAGGTTGAGTGGGGTCTGGTGGCAAAACCCTGTAAATCCCAACTACTAAGACTAAGGGAAGAGGATAACAATTTCAAAACTTGCCTGAGTGAGTCAGCCTGGGCAGCATAATAAGACCCTGTCTTAAAAAACAAAAAGAGGCAGGCATTGGTGGCACACGCCTTTAATCTCAGCACTGGGGAGGTAGAGGCAGGAGGATCTCTGTGAGGCCAGCCTGGTCTACAAAGCTACACAGAGAAACCTTGTCTCAAAA